AATTGTCTTCCTGGTGAAGAGCTAATAGAGAATTTTTGTTCTGAAAACTCTCCATTCTCTGAAATGGTAAGGAATACTGATGACTTTAATGTCAGCTAACCAATTGTCTTAAAGATCCAGTAGGTAAAAGAGATTTTGGAATATAAGCACTTCGGAAAAAAACATATTAAAACACAACCACTGTTGTTTATGCTTATTTTTGAAAAATACAGGACAGAAGAGATATTTTTAACCAAATTTTTAAGCTATTATTTATCTTTGTGTTGGGATAACAACATATCTTGAATGAGGGGACTTGTGGAAAAAATTATGTTTTTAAGCATCAGTGCTTGTCTGTGCAGGAATATCACAACAATATCACGCTAGAACATAAGGTGCATAGCTACAGTTTCCCCCACTTCCATAATAACTCCCTACATAGGAGTAGCAAGGCATAGAAACAATATTGATAATTTAAATTTACCATAATTTTTGTAACCGGTTTCTCAAATAGTTCTGTGGATTTAGAACTAACATTTGATAGGAAGGAAAAATTCCCAACATCAACAACCGAGGAGGTGTTGGATATCAGAAGAGTGGTTTGTTACTGCAAAATAACGCCATTAGCAAGATATATTAGAGAATTAAAACAGCAAGAGACTTCCATTGTTGTGTGTGGTTCAGTGAAGTTCTACTTACCAATTGAAACATGTCTTTCAACAGTTCAGCTTAGCTTTGATATGCCTGGAACAATGTAGTGTTACTGATTAGTGATGGTGTGGGTCCCTTTAAGCAAAGGTATTTTTGTAACCAATGGAATTTGTAATCTATGCAGTATCTACATTCAAACAAGGTTAGAGGAACTGCTGTTGAAGCCTGGATCACTCCAGCCTGATCCATAAACACAGACCTGCTTGTCTATTGACTTATTCTAATTTTGTAGCAACGACAACCAAAACACTAAATCAGTCACTGGCAAAGGAAAGATGAAACAGCAGGGCAGTAAGATATTAGAGATAAAACTTTCTTGGCAAGAGCCACAAAGTTAGTTACTTAATGCAGTCATGAGATAATAGATATCTAGAAAAACTAACCATTTGTCAGTTTACTTGATTAAAAGAGAAGAAATAAGGAACATTTTAATTCTGCTTAATAAAAGAAACTGCTATTTACTTGGTACCAGAAACTATTAAAAGTCTTTTTGTAAAAACTCTCATTTAATCCTCTTAATAATTTAATGACAGATATTATCCCACTTTGCAGAAGAAAACAAATTAAGGAAAAAGTTTAACCTGCTCAAGAGCTGACAGAGAGTAGATGATGAAGCTAGAATTTGAAAACTAGAAAGTCTTACTTCAGAAGTCATACTTTTTTTTTTTAAAGAATTATTTATTTTTATACAAGAGCTGGGCTACAGGCCAGAGGCATGTGAGGGTGAGAGGATTCAGCAGAGACAGAGTGGGGAACAGAACAGACAGACTGACTGAAATACACTGCTGAGGGGAGCAGCGGGCGCGACAGGAGAGGTCGGCAGCACCATGAGGGATTTTCACCGGCTGGCCAGGATTGAATCCACACTGCCGAGGCTGCGGACAGCTTCACAGCACGGCGCTCAACCCACTGCGCCACCGGGGAAGCCCAGAAGTCATACTCTTATTAATGTTTTCTGTGCTTCATAGAAAGCCTACCCTTTTCCCTACTGAATTTAGTCTTTTCCTTATCGTTGCTCCATTAGAAGCCATTTTCTTTAAAAAACCTTTTAAAAAGTATAGATGACTGTAACTTTAAAAACTATACATGACATCATGCAATCTTATGCAAGAAATGACTATTTCTGAATTCCTATGTATAATCTGGCAAAAATAATCTACCCTATTGTTTAATGGTGAATTGATTAGGAAAAAAAGTTGTACTAATGACAAATTTGAATAGAGTTCAACCTTTTTATTGCCACACTGAAAATAACATGCAAACGCCTGTGTACTACCTGATTGGACAGGTGGGCACCTACCTCAATGGGCAGTCAATTTACAGACTATCAAGAGACTTAAAATATGGCTGGCATGAAAATATGAACAGCAACTGTCACCTTCTTAAAAATTTTCAAAGGTCTCGCTGTTTTAAGAATGAGAAACCCATTTTAAGTTAGATGAGTGGATTTTTATTATTAGTAAAGTTATGAAATGATTCTTGATGCCTGCTTTGCCTGTGGAATTCATTCACTTTAATGTTCAGTGGAAGTATGTTTATAGAGTATAGTCACTGGAGAGCTAAGCGTCTCAGCACAGGCATAATTATATTGAACATTATTAATAATAAGAATGCCACTCCTAGTAGCCTATTAGATGGGCTTTAAAAACATAATTTCTGATTCACACAACAATCCTACAATGTATTTTCTAATATTCCTAATTTTCAGATGAGGAAACTATAGCTCAGAGAACTTGGGTAACTTTCCAAGGTCACTCAGCTAGTAAGTGAGCTTGGAGTCTGGATCCAAAGTGTGTATACCCTTTATACCAGTTTTAGCTTTTTCCTAGCCTAAACCATGAAGTTATTGTTTAATTTTATTGTCATCTCAGTTTCACATCAAAATGATTGGAGTTGGTTTGCAAAAGTATATGACAACATAAAATTAACAGATGAGTAATTAAAAGAAGGAAAATACAATCAAGCAAAAGGCAAATTTAGTGTATAAAAATGTATGCTGTAGGTTTTGCAGATAGTTAGACAGCATCTGTAAAGACTGTCTGTAAAGAATGCCTTTGGAAAGACTTGGTCGCTCCCAGGACTCAAAAGATTGGGCCTAAGAGTATTATTATTAGGCAAATATATGAAGTAAAATGTAGAGAGATGTGCCAGGCACAAATGTGTACTAAAAGAACTTAGAAATATCAGGTACCTTAGTCTATAAAATGTAAGGATTAGAAAGTCTATAAAGAAAGGGTGTGTGTTCACTAAATATTAATTTGAGCAAAGTTCTGGGAAAATATCATCACGAATATTCAGGCATAGACATTCTACAAAATGGCCTATCAAACAACAACAACAAAAAGCATTTATCACCCTAAAGTTGGTTTCCTGTCACAGAAAGTCTTAAATTCTGCAGCATTCAAGATGGCATCTATTCTTGGTTTTGCATCATTTTTTTCATTAACAATTCATTAACACTATACTTCTCTGGAACAGAGAGACATCCCAACAAAGAAAAAAGGAGTAAAGATGGAGATGAGGTTACCAAGAGCAATAGTACCTTGGAAGAAAAAGCTACACTTGCATACATGGCCCAAACTTTTTTGAATTTGGCTCATGATGTGAATTTTTTAATACTTAACTTTTCCCAACAATCTCAGAAAAGTATAGTTCAGATGTGACTTGGGGGGGGGTAGGGGGGTGGGGAGGGTGTCAGGCAAAGATTCTGAGCAAGAACCTACCAAAAAACCTACCTGCTAACTTGAGCACGTCATTACACAGGAGAGTTCGGACTTGGCAGGTGGTAAATAGATTAGGGTTGTTTCATACAGCAGATTAGTTCATAGTTAATAATGGCATAAATGTGTTGGGCCATGACACAATACCCCCAAGTAGTCAGGGGTGGTTTCTCTATCCTTTCAGTCTTAGGTTTCAAGCACAATATTTCTGGAGCACTCTCTTGACGATGCAGCTATGCTAGTCCAGCTCAAACTACTACCAAAGGCTCAGGAATCCTTTTTTTTAGGGGGAGGGGAACATAGTTTTCTGTTTTTTTCCAGGTTTTTCTGTGCTTGTACACTACTTATTTTCAAACTTGAATGGGTGAAAAACCTTGGGCTTCTGGGGGACAAATTGGAACATGGCCGGAGGACCTGCATTTTAAACCACTTCAGGTATATCTGATGCTGAGAGTTCAGCGACTACATCTGGGAAGACACAGCAGGGGGAAGGGCCCTTGACATGTGAAAAAAGAACTCTCCTACATTGCTGGTGGGAGTGCAAACTGGTCCAACCACTATGGAAAGGTGTCTGGGGGTTCCTCAGTCTACTAAAAATGGAGCTACCATATGGCCCGGCGATTCCACTCCTAGGATCTACCCAAAAGGACACAAAAACATTGATTCAAAAGAACATCTGTACCCCTATGTTTATTGCAGCACTATTTACAATAGGTAAAACCTGGAAACAACCCAAATGCCCAAAAATAGATGACTGGATCAAGAAGATGTGGCATATATACACAATGGAATATTATTCAGCAATCAAAAAAGATAAACTCATGCCATTCGCAGCAAGATGGATGAAACTAGAAGGAATTGTGATCAGTGAAATAAACCAGAAGAAAAAAGAAAAATATCCATGGTTTCACTTATGGTTCCAGGGGAACCAAATAAGACATCTGTGTAAAAAAATAGCAGTACAAAACACAACAAAGCAAAAGCAGACAATTATAAACCAGAGACATACTGCAGGGGAGGAGGAGAGAGAGGGAGGGAGGGAGGGAGGGAGGGAGGAGCACAGGGGCTGAGGTGATGGTGCACGGGTGCACTGGTGAAGGAAACTCTATGGGGACTCCACCTGAGGGGGTGGGGGGAAGCAAATACTGTTTAAAAATGAACAACAATGTAAAAAAATTAATATCAAACAAACAAAAAAGTCAGCTGTTAAAACGCGCCCTGCTTTCGCAGCCTCGGAGGCTAACGCTTGTCTGGGCTTACGCACGCCCCAGAGTATTGTAAAAGCGCGGGCGTCGTTGAGTCAGCGCCCCAGGCGCCTGCTAACGAGGAAACCCGCCCACGCGGACGGCGCGTCGACGCCGGCCCCCGCGAGCTTCACGCCCGCTCCGCGGGAGGCGCAGGGCTCCGCCTCGGCACAGCCGCGGGCCCCGCAGACGGCGCAGTCCGCCCAGCCTCCCCGGCAGGCGCCGGGCCCGCGCGGCCCAGCGAGGGGCAGCGGCCGGAAGCGCCCTCCAGGCCCGCCCCTTTGCGCCGGAGCCGGAAGTTGGAGACCCCGGCGGCGACGTCGCCCTCCGCGGCCCGCCGCGCACCATGCTCCGCGGGCCCCGTCGCGTCCCGGGCGTGCCCAGTCGCCTCCTCGGCGTCGTCGTAGCACCCGCCGCGGCCCTGGCTGTGGCGCTGCTCTCGGCGCTCTCGGGCTGCTCCCTCCTGGAGCGGGAGGCTTCCGTGGTCTCGGCGCTCAGCCCCTACTTCGGCACCAAGACCCGCTACGAGGATGCCAACCCCGGGCTGCCGCCGGACCCCGAGGCGCCGCGACGGGACCCGCAGCTGCTGGAGGACACCTGCACCCCCGTGCAGCTGGTCGCCCTCATCCGCCACGGCACCCGCTACCCCACGGCCAAGCAGATCCGCAAGCTGCGCCAGCTGCACGACCTGCTGCAGGCGCCTGGGCCCGGGGACAGCAGGCCTGGCGCTGCAGCCGGCCGCAGCCTGGGCGCCGTGCTGGCCGACTGGCCGCTGTGGTACGCGGACTGGATGGACGGGCAGCTGGTGGAGAAGGGATGGCAGGACATGAGACAGCTGGCGCTTCGCCTGGCCTCGCTCTTCCCGGCCCTTTTCAGCCGCGAGAACTACAGCCGCCTGCAGCTCATCACCAGCTCCAAGCACCGCTGTGTGGACAGCGGCGCCGCCTTCCTTCAGGGGCTGTGGCAGCACTACCACCCCGGGTTGCCGCCGCCCGACGTCGCAGGTGACAGCCCAGGCCCCAGGGCAGGTGTCCCTTGGTCCCCCCCTACCCCGAACCCCGTCATCCCCTAAATCTCCGACTTCCCGATCCCAGCCTCTCTTCACTTTCCTCAGCCCTCAGGCGCCCTGACTTTGGGTGTTCAGAATGCCTGTCGGCCTTCTCGTTCGGAGTTCCTTATTCATTCTCCAGGTATGAAGGAAGGTGGCGCCTTCTAAGTGCAGGACCAGGTAGTAGACGGTGGCGGATCCAGTAGTGAAGGAGAAAGACAAGGGCAGTTTGTGATCTCCTTTTGACAAATTGAACTGGCACCTTTGAGCACCAACACCCCCCGCCCCCCCAATCTCTCTCCTTCCCTGGCAAGCTAGTTCTATAGTTGGGCGCACTTTTAAAATGCAACCTAGGACTTCCTCCTCAGACTTTGTTTCTGATGCTACTTGACTGCTTTTGTTTTTTTAACTTAACAGCTTTGGAAGCTACTTGCTTATTCTGCGGCTTTGTCTGTTTTGTGTATGTGGCTGCTGTAGAGTTTAGAGTTATCTTCAGGTGTAATTGTGGTCGGTGGTTTCGTGCAGTATTTTACAGCTTATTCCATTATGTAAAATTTGAGAAATACTCTATTTGGGCCCCTTTTATTTCGTAGGTGAAGAATTTGAGTCTAAGAATACAACTTGCTCATTGTCCTTCAACAGTTTGAGGAGTAGAGTTGGGCCTAGAATCCAGGTCTTCTGTTTTTCCCCTTAATTGGTGCTTTTTTCCCCTTAAGAAATGGTTTAAAAGCTACAGCTATTTCGCAGCAACATGGGTGGAGCTGGAAGGGATTATGCTCAGTGAAATAAACCAGAAAGAAAAAGAAAAATATCGGATGGTTTTACTTATAGGAGGAATGTAGGGGAACTAAATAAGGGATCAGGAAAAGAAGTAATTATAATGAATTAAAAAACAAAATTAGCAGGCAACTGTAAAGCAGAGAAACATTCTGCGGGGGAGGGGGTGGGGGGATGAGCGGATGAGCACCAGGGACTGTGGTGATGGTGCTGGTGCACCGGTGCTGTGGTGGTGGGAATTTTATGGGGACTATGCCTGAGAGGAGAAAGCGTGCATTGTACAGAAGGGAAGAATGATGTTAAAGATATAATAGTAATAATAATAATAAGCTACAGCTAGTAATAATAGCAAACTCTTAATGCCTGCCCAGGATGCCCAGGTTTATTTTACTAAATCTATACAATTTCTCTTTGGGGTAGATGGTATTTCTCCCCTGTCTTAACTACTGAGGAAATTAAGACACAGAAGCATTATTATTTGCCTAACTTCATACAAATAGCAATGGAAATTTCATGCAACTAGACAGGAAATCTGATTTAGAGCTTTGTTTCTTAACCACTTTACTCTACAGCTCCCATTTCAATTAGAATATACACAATATTTTGTGCCAAAGAGATTGAACTCAAGTGTTCATGCTTTTTTGATCAGTTTTAAGATCAGAGTTGAGGTGAGACATCCTTTGGCTTCAAAGCCCAAGTGAAAAATAAATTAGAGGGTAACTGGTTTGTCATTTTTTCAATGCTATGCTTTCTAAAATTAGTTCTACCATTTCCAAGGGGTTCTTCCATTAAAATTTTGTGTCATGTTCTTACTCTGTGGGTGGGTAACTCAGCTGACTTGTGTTCAGTCCCTTGTTGAATTCTGCTTTTTAATTAAAACTAGACCTTTTCCTACTAGTGAAAATTCCCTCCAAATCTGTTACCTGAATATTAAAAGCAAAACATATTTTAAGATAGCACAGTGTGTGTGTGTGTGTGTGTAGTCACCATTTTCAGTCTCAGATTAAACCTTTTCCCTAGCTACTGCAGACACTTGTCTGTAGACAATTATTTTGCTTGTTGTGTATATCTAAGCTTTTGAGGGAGTCACTGAATTAGATTTTGTATTCTTATAGAAACAAAGCAATGCTTTTATTTAAAGAGCAGCAGTTAGATAAAAGCAAGGATGAAATATTCAGATCCACTTGAGAAATCATATTTTAAGCCACAGGAAAAAGACAAAGATATTTGTTTTCTTGTTACATTTTCTTGAGAATTATAATTCAGTTGGCAAAGTGGGTAGAGCTATTTCAGATCTCACATACGCACATAACATATATATTTTCTCACAGACATCCAAAGCAAAAGAGTATAACTTTTTGATTTTCTCATTTTGTGTACAGAAATATTATGCTTGGTGTTCTTTTCATGGTAAATTATTGGAGAGATGATGATTAGAATCTGTTTTGAACATGACCCTGGAAAAACTTAAATGGTTACCTTAAAGTTAAAAAGCGTGCTTATGAATGCTTTTCCAGTACATATTTGTTGCCAAATTGAGGAAAAAATGTAATTTGTTATGTTCTAAACTGAAAGTTATCTGGGAGCTTCAGTTAGGAAATAAACCAAATCTGAAGCACCTTGCTCAATGAAATACAGAAGACCTAAAACAATGTGTTTTGCGCTCTTGTTAGTAGTTTTTATCCAAAGCAGAGTGACAGTTGGGAAAGTTAATTTAGAAAATAAGATACTCTACTAAACTTCAGCTTAAAGTAGAAAAACAGATTTGATCTGTGGAATTATCACTTACCTTATAATTAGAAATTTTAATGTTCGCTTTCTTCAGTTTCCTCTGCCTGACAGAAACAGTACTTACGTAACATTTTTGCACTTTTTATAACTTTTATGTCTGTATTTTCTTTGAGAAAACATTATTTCATTACTTTTTTTCATTATGCAGTATTGTTATAACACATTTTATTTCATTTTCGATACTTTGTTTCTTTAGTCTTTTCTAGCAACTGTCATGAATTACAATCATTATAAAAATTAAAATCATTACAAATGGGAAATAGTTTTGCCCTGTGTCTTGATCATTGTTCTTACTTCAGACACACAGATGAGTATGTTTTTGGCATTCCATTTCACAATTGAAAGAGAATTTCCAATAATATGAACTGCCGTTTATGTCAATAATTTATATAATAATGTATTTTTTTTCTCCCATTTTAGATATGGAGTGTGGACCTCCAAGAATTAATGATAAACTAATGAGGTTCTTTGATCATTGTGAGAAATTTTTAACTGATGTGGAAAAGAATGCTACGGCTCTTTATCATGTAGAAGCCTTTAAAACTGGACCAGAAATGCAGAACATTTTAAATAAAGTTGCAGCTACTTTGCAAGTACCAGTCAGCAATTTAAATGCAGGTAATATGCCTATTTTTCATTTGAACTGTGAAACTTCAGTTTATATGCTTTAGTTGTGGGAAGATCGGGGTGAGGCTGGAGGCTTTGGGGGTGAAAGAATTCACCAGAGACAGAGTGGAGAATAGAAAAGTCAGATTTATTGAAATACACTGCTAAAAGAAGCAGCAGAAGAGGTTTTCTATGCCTAAATAGCATTTGGGGCTCTTTTTATATACTATTTCTGTGGGCTTTTCCTGGCTTGAGGAGTTGGTGCTTGTTGGTTGTTACTCATTGGAACATCAGGTTTCAGTCAGCTTTCCCTTTAGGTGATGTGTTATGTTTGCCCTGTTTCCACATTTTCTAGAATTCTGATAACCATAGGTCATAAAGACCTGTGGTCTGGCTCCAAAGATAATTTTCTTGGATTCCCTTTCTTACCTTGTTGTATAGCACAAAGAAAACGTGGACATGCGGGCTAATAAGAAGCAGTTTTAATGCACCGGTGCTTACTCAGTGGGTTCACATCCCAAAGCTTCTACGCAATAAAGAGACTTTGTAGGAAGTCAGGCGCTTATATACACTTTGTTTCTTTTTTTTTTTTTTTTTAAAGATTTTATTTATTTCTTTATACTAGAACTGGGGTACAGGCCAGATGCGCGGGAGGGTGAGAGGATTCACCAGAGACAGAGCGGGGAACAGAACAGGCAGACTGATGAAATACACTGCTGAGGGGAGCAGTGGGCGTGACAGAGGTCTGCCACACCATGTGGGTCCCTCGCGGGCTGGCTGGGATCAAACCAGCGCTGCAGTCTGCGGACAGCTTCACAGCGTGGCACTCAACCGCCTGCGCCACCAGGGGAGGCTCTACACTTTCACAAGGCTCTACAACTTTCACAAGTTTCTACAAGGCTCCGGGTGGGTTTGCATTGGCAGCTGTACACGGTCAGATAGGGCGTGATACATGGTCTAACATGAAGCAAGATTCATACTAGGGACTAAGTTGCATACCAGGAACTGAGCAAAAGGTTGTTACTATCTCAGGCTGCTTATCTCAGGTCACCATGCTTCATTCTCCCCTTTTTGATGCTCTGACTTACTGAAGCACATCACCATGACTGTAGTTCTCCTGACGAATTAGGGGTTGGTGACGAGGCAGGGAAACAGTAGACATCACACGGGGGTATTAGGTTGGGGTAAGCACTAGGGGAGTCTTGACAAGGAGGAAGGAAAACCCAACCAGAGATAGCCCAAGACAGGAGAAGAAAAACCAGGGGAACCGATGTCCTCAGGCTTTGGCCTTGCGTGGACTAGTCAGCTTCCGGTTGTGACTAGAGCAGGGCTTGATGAGGACATCTTGTCACCAATTCGGCAAAGAGTTAGTCAGAGGGGGGTTTGCTGGTCAGATGAGCAGGTCCATGAATGTATTTTAGGAGGTGGAGACGTCATAGCCTGGTCCGGCGCTGCTGGTTTGACCCAACTGTGATGAATCCACGGAGTCACCTCAGCTACTTTAATTGCTGTGGGAATGGACAGAATGACAGTAAAAGGACCACGCCAGCGGGGTTTAAGAAGTTGCAGGTTCCATTCTTTAACCCAGACATTGTCTCCAGGTTTTAAAGAATGTACAGGACCTGCGAGACTAACAGGGAGTTGTTCCTGTGCTCAGTGATTTCATTGGCAGAGAATAGTGCCCCAAACCTGCATCGGTTGGGCGATATTAATGTTTCCAGTTTGTCTAAGGTCACCCTGCAGGGATTGAATTACGGGGGATGTAGAGGATTTTAAAAGGGGAAAACCCCATCTGTTTGTTAGGGTTAAGGCCCTGGGTAACAGTTGATCCCACCATCCTTCTGATCCTTTATTACCTCTGCCTTTTTTTCCATCTTTTTTGCTACCCTTTTATGTCCTTCCTCTCTGTACTTCCACTTAACAATTATAGTGTGAATTGTTGTGTAGTTAAAAGAGTGGCTTAATAAATGTACTTTGTTGTTCCTAATTTTCAAGTAAAGGACTAATGTCTTTTATAACTTTATTTCTCCTGCTCCAACACTTGAAAATGAGCAAAGTTCTTATGCTCTATGTGGTAAATCCTTGGATAAAGCTTTTTGTTGGTTGTCGTAGGCAAACATGATCTTGAAAAATATATTACTTGTTTTGAAGTGATAGTGGTTTGTAACATTTTTTAGTTTCAGGTGTACGGCATTATGATTCCACAACTATATATACTGCATCATGATCTTCAACAAAAGTCTAGTTTCTGTCCCTCATCTTATCATTGACACCCTTTACCTGTTTTACCATGACAATATATTACTTTTAACAGCAGAAAAAAAGCTACTGTTTTGCAGAGAGAAAGTTTTTTTTTCTTTCATTGGGCTGAAGGTATACCTCTTTATGGTTTCTTCCTGACAGTTCCAGTGTCTCCCTTGCGATTGAACAGTGTTAGCCTTAATTCTTTAATAGCCAGGAAGAAGCTGAATAGTGTCTTTTCCAAATGGAATATATAGTTTCTTCAACTGTGCTGAACATGGCATTCAATAGGTATTTAACCTTTGGAAAATTGCAGAAATTAGTAACCTATACCATTTTATCTCTTTTTCAGATTTAATTCAGGTAGCTTTCTTTACCTGTTCATTTGATCTGGCAATTAAAGGTATTAAGTCTCCTTGGTGTGATGTTTTTGACATAGATGACGCAAAGGTAAGTGTTACTTTTGCCATTTCATTGCTTTTTTTTGCATAATGTTTTTGTTGTTACTCCAAGCAGCTTTTCAGAAAAAATAAGCAGATAGGGGATTTTAATTGTCTTTGACTAACTTGTAATTTTTCTTAAATAAAAAGAGGTTAATTGTTCAGGTAGAGTCTACATATTTGTAAATATTTTGGGATTATACAACTCTGGAAAAACATTCTTCTATGGTAATTTGATTTCTAACCACACAGTTTAAAACCTATCTCCCCATCATCAAATTTTACTGCTAGAAGGGATTGTAGAGCTAATATCACCCAAATTCTTCTTTTTATAGGAAGCCAAAGTTCAGAGAATGGTAGTTCAACAGTTTATCTCTTTTTCTTTTTCTTTCTTTTATATAATTATTACATCATTTTTCATCTTTGCACAATGTATGCATTTTCATTATGGTTATATTCCCCATACAATTGCACCCCCCCTTATTTTGACTCTAGTCCTTCCTTTCCCCGCCCCTCCCAACCCCCACCCCGTAGTGTGTCTCTTGTTTATAGTTGCTTGTTGGTTTTGATTTTTACTTTGTATTGATTAGTCTTTTTCCTTGTCTCTTATTTGAGTTTTCTAAATTCCTGCTCTGAGTGAGACCATCCGGTATTTTTCTTTTTCCTTCTGACTTATTTTGTTGATCATGATCCCTTCTAGCTCCATCCATGTTGCTGCAAACTGTATGTGTTTATCTTTTTTGATTGCTGAGTAATATTCCATTGTGTATATGTACCACATCTTCCTGATCCAGTCATCTATTTTGGGGCATTTGGGTTGTTTCCATAGCTTAGCTATTGTAAATAGTGCTGCTATAAACATAGGCATGCAGGTGCCCTTTGGAATTAATGTTTGTGTGTCATTTGGGTAAATACCTAGGAGTGGAGTTGCTGGATCATATGGAAGCTCTATGTTTAGTAGGTCAAGAAATCTCCACACAGCTCTCCATAGTGGTTGGACCAGTTTGCACTCCCACCAGGAGAGTTCCTTTTTCTCCACAACCTCGCCAACATTTGTTGTTGCTAGTTTTTTTATATGTGCCATTGTCACTGGTGTGAGATGGTATCTCATGGTAGTTTTGATTTGCATTTCCCTGATTGCAAGTGATGTTGAACATTTTTTCATATGCCTGTTGGCCATTTGCATTTCCTCTTTGGAGAAGTTCCTTTTTAGCTCTATTGCCCATTTTTTGACTGGGTTATTTACTTTGTTTTGTTGAGTCTCGTCAGCTCTTTGTAGATTTTTGTGATCAATCCTTTATCATTAGTGTTGTGTGCAAAAACTTTCTCCCAGTTGGTGAGGTGTCTCTTTGTTTTGGTTATTGTCTCTTTTGCTGTGTAGAAGCTTTTTAATTTGATGTAGTCCCAGCTGTTTATCTTTGCCTTCACTATCACTGCTTTGGGTGATGTGTCTATAAAGATGTCTTTGAGGTGCATGTCATGAATGTTTTGCCTATATTTCCTTCTATGTATTTTATGGTTTCAGGTCTTATGTCTAGTTCTTTGATCCATTTTGAGTTGGTTTTTGTGCATGGTGTGAGGTCATAGTCAAGCTTCATTCTTTTGCATGTAGTGACCCAGTTTTCCCAGCACCATTTATTGAACAAACTTTCTTTGCTCCAGTGCATATTCTTTGCTCCTTTGTCAAAGATTAGTTGACCATAGATCTGTGGGTTTATTTCTGGATTTTCTATTCGATTCCATTGGTCTGTGTGTCTGTTCTTGTTCCAATACCATGCAGTTTTGATGATTATGGCTTTGTAGTATAGTTTGAAATCTGGGAGTGTGATGCCTCCATTCCCTTCTTTGTTTTTCAGGAGAGCTTTGGCTATTCGGGGTTTTTGGTGATTCCATATGAATTTCATCAATAATTGTTCTATTTCTTTGAAGAATGTCATTGATATTTTGATTGGAATAGCATTGAATCTGTAGATTGCTTTTGGTAGGATGGCCATTTTAATAATGTTAATTCTTCCAATACATGAGCAGGGGATGTCTTTCCATTTCTTTGTGTCTTCTATTTCTTTTAATTGTGTTTCATAGTTTTCTTTGTATAGGTCTTTTACCCCTTTTGTTAGATTTATTCCCAAGTATTTGATTTTTTTTTATTTCAATAATAAAAGGGATTTTTTTTTTATTTCTTCTTCAGATTTATTGTTTGTGTATAGGAAGGCTACTGAGTTTTGCGTGTTGATTTTGTATCCTGCCACTTTACTAAACTGATTGATTAGTTGAATTAGTTTTTCTGTGGAGTTTTTGGGGTTCTCTCTATATATTATCATATCATCTGCAAATAGTGATAGTTTAACTTCTTCTTTTCCTATTTGGATTCCTTGTATGTCTTTCTCTTGTCTTATTGCTCTGGCTAGGACTTCCAGTATTATATTGAAAAGCAGTGGTGAGAGTGGACATCCTTGTCTTGTTCCAGATCTTAATGGAAATGCTTTCAGCTTTTTGCCATTGAGAATGATACTGGCTGTGGGCTTGTCATGTATGGCCTTTATGATTCAATGGCCTATTTCTTTTTTATAAAAGTTTTAGTAATAGGTTGTAATTCTGTGTTCTATAGTTTCTATCTGCTTATTTCACTTTCTGTTATTTTCTTAAATTTTTTTTAATTTATATTTTTAAATTATTTTTTTATTTTGGTAACATTGGTTTACAGTGTTGTATGATTTAGGGTTGTAAGTTCATGCTTCTTCAGATGTATGTTAATAGTGCATACCACCAAAGCATCCACAGTCCTCTACTTAAGACTATTGGGCCCTCTCCCATCCTTTGTAATCCACCACCCAAACTCCCCATCTAGTAGCCTAAATGTAAGATTTCTAAGAGTTGCTTTGGCTTTTGAGCGAGATCATCCAATATTCGTCTTTCTCTTTCTGACTGACTTTGCTTAGCATAATCTGTTCCAGTTCCATCCCAGTTGTTGCACATGGCAAATGTTCATTTTTTTTTTTTTTATGGTCGATTAGTACTCCATTGTGTATATATGCTCCATCTTCTTTGTCCCCTCATCTGCCGGTTATTTCCATAATTTGGTTGTTGTTAATAGTGCTGCAGTGAACATGGGAGTGCATATGTCCTTTCAAAGAAGTGTTTTTGTGTTCTTCAGCTAGATACCAAGGAATGGATTTGCTGGATCTAATGGCAGATCTATTGTTAACATTTTGAGAAATCTCCACACTTTTTTCCATAGGGAGTGGGCAGTCTACATTGCCGCCAACAGTGTAATCGGGTTCCATTTTCCCCACACCCTTGCCAGAACTTGTTGTTTCTGGTCTTTTAGAAATAGTCCATTTTCTTGCGTGTGAGGTGGGTATTTCATTGTAGTTCTGATTTGCATTTCCCTGATAAGAGATCAACAGCTTTTCATTTGCCTCTTGGCCATCTGTATGTCTTCTTTGAAGAAGGGTCTTTTTAACTTTTTCCATGTTTTGATTGGATTTTTTGTTCTCTTGTTGAAGTTCTTTTATATCTTAGCTGTTAGCCCTCTGTCAGAGGTATAATGTGTAAATATTTTCTCACATTTGGGAGATAGGTCCTTTTGATATGCATAAGAGTTATAGTTTGATGATATCCCATTTATTTTTTGCTTTTGTTTCCCTTGCCATTGGTGTTAAGGCCCCAAAGAAATTCTTGAAGCTAGTGTCATGGAGTATTTTGTCTATGCTTTCTTTTATGTATTTTATGGTTTTTAACCTGTTTTGAGTTAATTTTTGTGTATGTCTGAGATAGTGGTGTAGTTTCATTCTTTTGCCTGGTTCAGATGGTCATTTTCACAATATTAGTTATTCTGGTCTATGAGCAGGGTCTATGTTTCCGTTTCTTTGTGTCTTTTTTTTCTTGTTAATAGTGTTTTCATTTTAGTGATCTTTCAACTCCTTTGTTAAATTTATTCTTAGAAACTTCGGTTATTGGTTTTGTTTTTTGTTTTTTGTGGGTATAAATGGGATTATTTTCTTGATTCCTTTCTCTTCTAGATTCTGTTTGCATATAGAAATGCAACTGTTATTTATGCATTAATTTTTTAGCCTGCCACTTTACTGTTTCTGTTCTTAGTAGTTTTTTAGTGAAGATTTTAAGGGTTTTCAGTGTATTTTATTATGTCCTCTACAAATAGTGATAGTTTTACTTAACATGCTCTTCTCAATGAACAATCTTGGAGATCATTTTGTGTTGGTATATGTAGATCTACAATAATATAAATTTCCATATCCCATAGTATGTTTATTCCTCATTTCATTTAATCATCTATTAATGGAATTTAGTTATTTTCAGGAATTTTGTGTATAGGAGCGCTCTTATAAACAGTGTTTATGTATTCTTTCTGTGTGCTTCTGTGAATATTACTTTATAAGAAATAGAATGAAATGTGCTATAGAATTTGTGTGTTTTCCTGGTTTTTGCCAGTTTATCCTCCAGAATATCTGTATCAATATGTACTCCTAGCAGTATCACTTTTTCCATATCCTTGGTCCACTTTCATTATTTTTTTGAAGGTAGTATATGAATGAAAATAACATATTTTCTCTTTGATATCTTCCTAAAGTTCTTAAAAATTCCTGATCCGCTGTTGGCATTTTTTGTACTTAGTGAATATTCTATGTGCATATTTTTTATTTTTCTGTATTTATCTTTACTACTAATATAATTTTATAAGGGGGAGGTGATCTCATTATGCTGAAGTGTCCTGTATACTGGGTGTTGGCTGTGGATATTCCTAATTTGTTCTCGCATACCAGACTATACTTTGTCACAGTTCAAATTTTTGTCTCAATGTAAATATGTGTCATAGACCTTTGGGACCAACTCTTTATTTTATATATATTTTCTATCAGCCTTCATTTTCGTGCAATGTGCACTTTCTTCTCTCAGGTGTAGTCCCCGTGAAATTCCCACCACCAATTCACCTGTGTACTATCACCATAGTCCCTTGTGCTCTTCCCACTACTGTTTGGATTCTTCTCCCTCCTCCTCCCCAGCAGAATGTCTCTGATTTATAGTTATCCGTTGATTTTAATTTTTAATTTATTATAATTGTTTTTTTTTCCTGATCCTTTATTTGGTTCCTCTACATTTCTCCTATAAGTAAAACGATCTGATATTTTTCTTTCTCTTTCTGGCTTACTTCACTGAGCATAATCCCTTTCAGCTCCATCCATGTTGCTGTGAATGGCATGTGTTTATCTTTTTTGATTGCTGAGTAATATTGCATTGTGTATCTATACCACATCTTCTTGATCCAGTCATCTATTTTTGGGTGTTTGGGTTGTTTCTATAGCTTACCTATTGTAAAAAGTGCTGCAAGAGACATAGGAGTGCAGGTGTCCTTTTGAATTAATATTTTTGTGTTCTTTGGGAGATTCCTAGGAGTGGAATTGCTGGATCATATGGAAGCTCCATTTTTAGTAATTTGAGGAACCTCTACACAGCTTTCCATGGTGGTTGGACCAGTTTGTATTCCCACCAGCAGTGGAGGAGAATTCCTTTTTTTCCACATCCTCATCAACATTTGTTGTTGTTAGTTTTTTAGATATGTGCCATTCTTAGTGGCGTAAGATGGTATCTCATTGCAGATTTGAAATGCATTTCCCTGGTTACAAGTGATGTCAAACATTTTTTCATATGCCTGTTGGCCATTTGTATTACCTCTTTGAAGAAACATCTTTTTAACTCTTCTGCCCATTTTTGACTGGATTGTATACTTTGTTTTTGTTGAGTCTAGTCAGCTCTTTGATCAGTCTCTTATCAGTAGTTTTATGTACAAAAATTTTCTCCTAAACAGTGGGGTGTCTCTTTGTTTTGGTTAATGTCTCTTTTGCTGTACAGAAGCTCTTTACTTTGATGTAGTCCCAGCTATTCACCTTTTCCTTTGCTTTCTTTGCTTTAGGTGATGTTTCTTTTTTTTTTTTAATTTATTTATGCATATAAGAGCTGGGGTACAGGCCAGAGATGTGGGGGTTGGGGGGTAACAGGATCCACCAGAGACAGAATAGGGAACAGAATAGGCAGACTGACTGAAATACACTGCCGAGGGGAGCAGCGAGTCAGTCAGGAGAAGTCTGCTGTGCCATATGGGTTGCTCCCTGGCCGGCCGGGGATCGAACTGGTGATGCAGAGGCTGTGGATTGCTTCATAGTGCAGTGTTTAACCCCTTGCACCACCAGGGAGGCCCCTAGGTGATGTTTCTATAAAGATGTTACTGCAACTCTTAAACGCTTTAAATGGCAAATGTAAACTCTATTAATGCTAAAATTCTACTGTACTATGTACAGCATGGCAATTAAACAATGTAACCTTTTCTGATAGAATCAGCTTTGAATTAGAATCTTACATTAATAAAATGTATTAGTAATGATTTTTCAAATTTTTATTTTTAGGTATTGGAATATTTAAATGATCTGAAACAGTATTGGAAAAGAGGATATGGGTATACTATTAATAGTCGATCCAGCTGTACCCTGTTTCAGGATATCTTTCAGCACATGGACAAAGCAGTTGAGCAGAAACAAAGGTAAAAACTTAAAAAAATTATTTGATGTGTATTCTGAATATTGTCTTTTAATGGATGATTTTAAAACCTTGATTTTGTTTATGCATTTCCAAACTTTTTTTTTTTAAAAGATTTATTTATTTATTTATACAAGCACTGGGTACAGTCAAAAGCGCGGGAGGGTGAGAAAATTCACCAGAGTCAGAACAGAGAGCAGAGCAGGAAGACTGACAAAACGCACTGCTGAGGGGAGCAGCAGGCGGCAGGAGAGGTCTGCGCGCCATGTGGGACCCTCACCTGGCGGCCGGGGATCAAACTGGCGCTGCAGAGGCTACGGACAGCTTCGCAACCCAGCGCTCAACCTCTGCGCCACCGGGGAGGCCCTCCAAACTATTTTAATATAATAATTATACCTTCAAAAGAGTTAGCTGACATGTAAGGTATAGAGCATATGAATTCCTGTCAATCCCAAAACTAGAATATTACCAATAATTTGCATTTATTTACATGTTCCTCAATGATTCCATTTTCATGCCTCCCTTTGCCCCCCTGCACTCTTTATCCCCTTAACTCCTATTCTGAATTTTGTGTTTATCATTCTTTCCCTCCTTAAAAAGTTTTTATTATGAATTTATGTTTACCTAATCAGTGTTTACTTTTGCTTAAAAATCATATGCTTATTGTCTTTTTTTCCCCCCTCAACATTACATTTATAATATTCATTAGATTGTTATATATACCACAGTTCATTCATTTTCATTAAAGTACAATAATCATTAATATGTAACATTCAATAATTAAATACCATAATTTATAACTATTTTCTCTTGTCAGAGGCCACTTGAGTAGTTTCTGTTCTTTGCTATTGTAAAGAGTATGATTGTACATGACTCTTGTGGAATATACAATAAAAACGTCATTTTACTTTTTAAATTAGAGTTTCTCATTGAAAAGCCTTTGGTGACATTTGTGTTATTCCAAGTTAAATATTTCAAATTTGAGCTTTTGATGGACACTAAAGCACATTTTGTTTGTAAATGTACTTCAGTGAAAGCTTATACATTCACAGGGCCTCCCCTGGTGGCACAGCGGTTGAGCACTGGGCTGTGAAGCTGCCCGCAGACTCTGCTGCGCCGGTTCAATCCCTGGCCACCGGTGAGGGTCCCACATGGTGCGCAGACCTCTCCTGCTGGGCTCACTGCTCCCCTCAGCAGTGTACTTCGTCAGTATGCCTGTTCTGCTGCCCGCTATGGCTCTGGTGAATTCTCTCACCCTCCCACACTTCTGACTGTACCCAGTGCTTGTATAAATAAATAAATAAATCTTTAAAAAAAAAAAAAAGTAATACTTTGGAAAAAAAAAGCTTATACATTCATTCACAATTGGAGATGAAAATCATGAATGAGATATAAAGATTGAGACAGAAATCCTGAAGATGGTATATTTTATTGTTTGCAGTATTAAATTTTATATGTGCATGTACAGAAGGAGGGAGAAAGTTTTTCTTGAGTTTAATGAGAGTTAGGGAAAGAAGTCAGATGGAGTTCATGTTTCATTTCTGTTACTAAAAACTTTTGTGGGACAAAATAGCTAAGACAAGTACTCTCTTTAACATAGGTGTTAACTTTTTTCCTCCTTAGTTTTATGATTGGTTTATAACTTGGGGACTTCATGATAACAGATCTTTACTACTTTTTATTATTTATATTGTTGGATATAAGATATTATAAACATAAAATTGTGTCAGTGAGATTCTCAGCTAACTTTTACATGGTTTGCTGTTAAACTTTCAGATCAGATTTAGCCTTTAAGTCAGAAGTTTGGCATTGATGTTTTATTAAATTATTTCTGTACACTGAAAACTATAAAATCTTACACAGAAAAAAGAAGACCCAAATAAATGGAGAAATTCACTGTCTCTATAGATTAGGAAACTCATATTCATGATCACATTCCCTTTAGGTCTCTTTGTAGAAAATGAGAAATTCCATATTTCAACATGAGGTGGCAGTATTGAAATAAGTGTGTTGTGACACCAAGTGGATTTTAAATAGCTGTTTTATTTAATTATTTAGCCCTACATTGTGATGAGGGGATCTTTGTGTTTTAAAATTCTTTGAAACATGCAGATTCCAGCTCCCTAGAACCTGTTCTTGCTTGTCTTTTATTTCTCTGAAAAGTCAGAGTTCTGTGGAATTTAACTATGTATACCAGGAATCTCTTATAGCACTATTAGTTAAAAGCTGGTAAAGAAGTGTTAAAGCTTATATATGAATATCTGTCCATCTGTCCATTCATCCATCCATCCATCCATCTTTGTAACTACCCAGTCTGTTTTCTGAATTCAGATTCAGATTTCCATCTGCCTTCTAGAAAGATTCTTTTTGACTCTCAGTAATTTGTAGGTCTGTGATGTCTGAGACTTTATTTCACTACTTCCCCCCCCCTTACTTAAAGCAGGCAAGTATAGTTGGTACTCAGTATTCTTTGAAGGAATATCTACAATCCTTTTTCTCCTTTATTCTCTGTTTTAGGCACTGTCACCACCATGTCCAGATACCTAAGTCACAAACTTTGACTCACTCCTGCATGTCTACATCTACTCATAATATTAGGGGTTTTTTGCTTTTACTTTTATGTCAATTCATTTCACTTCTTCATCCCCACCGCTACCTCCTCAGTTCAGGCTAGTATCATCTGTGTCCCAAATTTTAGCAACTGCTTCCTAAGGGATTCCCTGATTTCAGTGTTAACTCCTGTTCTACTCCCAGTGTAATCATTTTGCTGACAATAGAGGGTTTATAAAGATGAATACATTTAAACTTATGTCAAGGAATTCATGTCCTAGTTTGGAGCTTATTTTTATAATAGCACTAAAGCAGGTTTAAAAGTATGGAAGGAAAATTAATTTGAACCATGGGGTCTGGTAAAGGCTTTATGGGAGGCAGAATCTTTGAGGAAGGTCCTAAAGACTACTTTCCCTAACCTTAGCATATCAGTCTTTATTATTCTGATTTTTTTAAAACAACTTTATTGAAATATAATTGATGTAAAGAGCACATATTTCAAGCATACAATTTGATGAATTTTTACCTCTGTGTGTGTGTATATGTGTATATAGATATATACACACCCTCATAAAACTATCTCCATAATCAAGATGATGAAATACCCATCACTTGTTAATGTTTGTGACTCTAACCCACTTTCAATATCCCATCCAGGCCAGCTGTACATTAATATATGTATTAATAGATATACACAGCTTTCACTTTCACTATATATTAATCTGTATTTTCTTGAATTTTATATAAAAGAGCCATGTAATATGTACATGTTTGGTTTAACTTCTTCCATTCAGCATAATCTGGCTATGGGATTCATCTGTATTTCAGTAGGTACCAGTAGTTCATTTCTTTTTAGACTGAGTAGTATTTAATTAATAGATAAACTACAATTTGTTTTTGCATTCTCCTTTTGATGGATATTTGGGTTGTTTTCAGTTTGAAGCTATTAAAAACAAAGGAGCTATCTTTTTAGGGATATATACTTTCATCTTTCTTGGGTAATACCTAGGGATGAAATGACTGAGGGATTTTGTCTTTGGTATATAGTATCTGTTCACATCTTTTCCATTTTTAAATTTGGTTGTTAATTTTTTTTTTATTATTTTGTTGTAAGACATCTTTATGTATATTCTAGGTACAGATCCTTTCTCAGATATACAGGTCTGTGTTTTGTCTTTGTAATGATATTTTTTGTGGGTTGATTTTGCCCCACTATGAAACAGTTCCTCCTGAGCATCTATTTGGTACACTGTGTATTTTGAGGTTTTCCTAGTTTGGCTTGTGGAAACACAGACTGCTGGCCCTATGTTAGCTCTGGAAATTTTTCACCTATTTTCTTCTCCCTCTATGTTTTTCCCTGGATTTGCATAGTTTTCTCACATACACGTGTGATTCTTACTAACTTGATGAGAACGCCTGCATATCTGTGGAACACTCTTTCCTCTCCTGTGAGTTTTAGATAGTGTAGCCTTGCTAAATTCTTATTTACTGGAATCTGTTGAGTCCTATCTCATCTACTCAGAAAAATTGCCATGTCTGTTTGCTCCCCTTCCCTGATAATATAACCAGAATGCTAAGGCCATTGTTGGAGTTGACCATATTTGCCTTATCTTATACTTCACTCTGTTGTTGAGTGTCTGTAAACTGCAGTTTCATTTATTTTTTCTCACTTTCTAGTTGTTAAAGGCAGGAAGATAAATCTGATCCCTGTTACTCCATCTTGACTGGCAGCATAAATTGTTATCTGTTTTTGCTTGAGAAAAGACTATGCTTGGGTCATTTTAGTTTTACATTTGTGTTGATCTGTCAAACTGATGCTTCCTTAAAAGCCACTTTGGAGCTAATGTCTCAATAACATGTATAAGAAGACTTAAAAATTTTGTTTCTACTGATAATTTTCTTCCCAAAGCACAGCAGTATCTTTGGTATTTCCTGTTCCTTATTTGTGCACTTACTTAAATAAGGGAATTATATGAGTTGTCTAAAACTCTATTTGATCTCTTTGGATCATGTTTAAAAATACTTTGTGTAATATTAGTTGAGTGTGAAACTAAGAGCTTAGAAAAATCTAAGCTGAGTACATTTAGGGGAAAAACATGCAATTATTTGTTGTTTTTTTCTTACTGAGCTCCTTGAATGTCTTCAATTCATTTTTGGGTGTTTTTTTTTTTCTCACCTACTTTGAATACACATATAATTAGCAATATAAGTTTGGACTTCAGCCTTAATTTTATTTTTAATTGAAACTTTGATAAAATCTCCTTACCAACTGATACAAGTACAAGAGGCTATTATTTGGAGAACTGAATTCTTTTTTTTTTTTTTTTTTAAAGATTTATTTATACAAGCACTGGGTACAGTCAGAAGCACGGGAGGGTGAGAGAATTCACCAGAGTTAGAGCGGAGAGTAGAGCAGGCAGACTGATGAAACGCACTGCTCAGGGGAGCAGCGGG